ATTCTATTCTATTCTATTCTATTCTATTCTATTCTATTCTATTCTATTCTATTCTATTCTATTCTAAACACAAATCAACTATAACTCAGTCAATTTAACTGAGGTAAAATTTGGTGTGGTAGCAGCTGAGAGTCATCTGCAAAGCATTTCAAGGTTTGACCCAACAACTCGTTTCTGAACATAAAATGATCCTAGCCTGAAACTTGGACATGAAAAGTGGCATGCAGTGTGCTTTCCATGAAAAAATGCAAGGCCAGGAGATTTTTACCTGAGCCTAGATGATGATATTATGCTACATGATACATGTACAWAGCATGATACATAGCTAATATTTGACAGGTTTTTAAAATTTACTTTAAAAATAAGATCACACCTCAAAACATTTCTTGAAAGATAACTATTAGGTTATAAATATAGCCTTCAAGACATGTCACACATTTGTTTATGTATGCAATGACAGGCTTATCTAAGAAACTTTTGTTAAAAAAAAATCAATACATAATCAAACAACTTTCACAGTTTATTTTTTACTCCTACCCTAATGTGTCTTTCACATTTGCTTAAATCCACACAGACTTTCACTTTGACTTTGGCTTTTGGTTAGAAATGCATTATGATTGCCATTTGAAGTGACAGTAAAAGTTAATAAGATATTATTCTAGTGAAAATGATATTAATTAAATAAATGATCATAACTCTTGTGCATGAGTATTTGCAGTGAAATACGTTTTTTTTCTCTCCTGTCTGCATTATTCCAAAGACCAACCAGTGAGGGTGTAAAAGTGTAGTGGGAAAATTTGATGCCTATTAAGTAATTCTTGAATGTTTTTAATAGAAAAATTAACACCAAGTGGCGGTCACACATAGGAAGTGCTCAACTAGGAAGAATGAAAGAAAAAAAAAACACATTAAAAACCCCAGGCCTTCCAAAAAACAAACTCACTTTCACACCTTGCTCACAGCCCTGCAGCCCATCGGTTCAGCTCACCTCCTCTGAGCAAACAGAGGGACACCAGGGCTCCTCTGTCTGCTCACAGTGACCTCAGTGGGACGGTGAGGTCATGCGGCGAGGGACAAGCTGCATCTTGTTGCTGCCCTGCGTCACAGCTCTGAGTCACACGTCCTCCCGCTGGACAAAAAACAGCCACAAAAACATCATGTGGAAGAAAAATATTGAACTAATCACTTTTTTTGTGACTTCATGCAGCTCTCTGTGAATGTTTTCCTGGTGCACAACTGTTCTTTTCCAAGATTAAAAAAAGTAAATACATTTATCAAACAAAAAAACAGAAATCACTGAGCCTTTATGATGATGTGAAACTGGATTACACCACAAGATGTCAGCATTGGAGTGAAATTATAATCCAAACACACGTCAAAACTGTCCTTTTATAAATGTAAAAGGAAAGTGTCAAATGTCCAGAACATGGCACTTTCTTTGCATTGGTGTTATTTACTTTAAAATAAAATAAGCTCATTTTCATAGAATGTTATATTCTCGGAGAAATAAAAATATTTAAAAGCAGAAATATGAAAGCAAATTTAGAAGGAAATTAAAATAATACTGATTAGAAAGAGAGTAAATTCCTAAAACGTACAAACAGTAAATATGAAAGGGAAAAATTGGTTCACT